ACAGTGAGGCAGTCTTCGAAAACACTGCTCTTTGAAACAGCTGAAACAACTCTGGCTTAAATCATCCTAATTTGGATCCAGAGTACAACACAAAGAAAATTAGACCAAAAATGCACCTTACTTCATCATGCTTCCCTGGTACCAACTCTGTGCTGTGTGAAGATCTCTTTATAGCCTACACAGCTGGTGACAAATGGTAGCAAATATGGCCCCAATCCTACAGTCAGAGCCACGCTGGCAGACACTTGTGTGTCCCCTCCCTGCACACACTGATGTAATTGTGGAATCTGGGCCATCATTTAAAAACACAGATCTCTGACCAGGGACAGAAGAATCTGGTGTTTGGGGGTTCTGAAATCCCCTTGAACTTTTAAAATACACTTTTAAATTTACTGAAGTTTTATCAAGTGCTTAGACATTTTTCTCTTAATTCAAATCACTGCTTAGTCAGGCACATTTCTTTTAACAAAAGAAAAAGCTGACTAGACACTAAGAATGAAGATGTGTTATTGAAGATAATTCTTCCCTGATTGTAGGGCATTTTTAAAAGCCAGATCTTTATAGTTCAAATTTTGCTTGAGCCAAATGGAAGATAAACCTCCAAATCTTTTCTTTCTGTCCTATTAGTTTTGCTTAGTCCTGTCTCTGAATCCACTGTGGCAGATTAAATCTACCCAGCCCTTGAATCTGGGTAGAGTGGCATTGACTTCAAGAGGGTTCTGCATTGGTGTGGGGAACTACTCTAATAGATCCTATAGCAGGATGGGCTCCTTAGTTTGGGCGTGGGGGGAGCGGTACTACTCAGATTCTGGTCAACTTTCTATAAACATTGTACGACTCGGGAGGTAACCATACATCTAACTGCTAGAGGGCAGTACAGCACTGCGAACGACACCACTTCAAGCCCTGCTTTTGCAGAACGCCGTCAGCCCCAGACTGGATAATCTCCTGCCGCCTCTTCCCATGGGAAAACAATCCGGCACCAAGCAGCCTATCCACCATGTCATCCCACTCAAGGCACCAGCTCTAACCGTTTAACTAACGCCTCGTCTCTCACTTGGAAAGCAACCTCGGCCCTTTTGTTAAACCAGGCGGCTTTGTTTGGGAGGGAAAGTTCTTTGGGGCTGCCTTTCTAACTGTGGATGCTAACCAATGGGGACGGGTATTAGCCAGTCACTTTAAGAACGAGCAGTCCTGTGGCACCTTTAGAGACAGATATATCATGAGCCTTCGTGGGGAAAACTAATATAACCAATATATGTGATCGTGAGTTTCTTGTGAGTAAAAACGGTGAACGGTTAGGTGTGTTCTCACCACTTCAATCCCCCCAGCGTTGTGGCAGGAGGCTGAGATGTTTCCCTTATGCACACACGGACATGTATGGTACTAATTACTGGCAGGAAAAACCCTGCAGAATCAACATTCCTATACCTAGAGATACAGGCAGACAGCTGAAGGACAGACCTCTGTAACTCTTCCCTTCCTCGTCGCCTCAGCCCTGACTCAGACGAAGAGGCCACTGATTTCCTTCCCTCCCTGTGGGGCGCAACCAATTCTCCTCTGCGAGAAACACCAAGGTTTGGGATTACAGCCTGGGGAACAGTGTCAGGTCAAACCATTCTTCTCCCCAGCGCCGCTCTCTGTAGGGCAGGCTGTCATTTCAACATGGGTTCCGAAACCCAAGCGCGCACACAGGGAAAACTCGCGGAGAACTCAATAGAGATAAAACCTGTCAGGTCAATGGACATTTAACAGGGTGCAATGGAAATTACGCTAACTCCCTAGACCTTTTAAGAAGGAGTGCTGTCCTTGAGTTGAACCTAAATCCTAGGGCAAGGAATATACTTCTCCATTACAGCAGGGAGATGGAACAATGTTTATAGCAGGCTGCTGAGAGCCCTGGAACTAAACCGTAAATCTTGGAAACCACTTCAAGGCTCCCCTAGTTCCAGTACCTATACTCTGCAGTTAAACAACCAACTGGACTTGTGAGCCCTTTCTGCGAAAGACTGCAGGGCGTTAGCATCGCAGCGCGCACGCACACACCCATGTACACAAACACACACACACTCTCAACCGCCAAGCCCAGTCCCCTATGGCCGGAGAACAACTGGATGCTATAAAGCCTGCCTTGATGGTATCAGTTTGTTTAGTTTCGGGGGAGGGGAATGTTTACATTCACACTTTCAAGCGCCTTGGTCTGTTTTTAACGTCTGGCCAGCGCTTGCCACTTACTGACTCTTTGGGAGCGAAGCCAAACGATCCGAGGGTACCACCCAGCGAACAAAGTCAGCGCATGTTAGGGAAGACCCGTCTATGCCGTGACCATATTGGCAAGCCAAGAAGCGGCGAGTTAGCGGGAGAGGCTGACTCGAAAGAGCCCAAGAACAATGAGAGAGCCCAGCAGTGACGTCAAATTTCAGCCACTTCGCTATTTTCAGAGGAAACAATAGCACGACCTTTGCCAAGCTGCAGCAGCAACCCTTAGGCGAGCCCGCCAGAAAAGGAACAAGAGGCGGGGAGGAGCCCCGCAAATTTGTACTTTACGTGGGTGAGTCAAATGTTTTCCACTCCGCATGTCCTGGAGCTGTCACACTGGATCTGTCCCCAAGCCCTCGGGGACCCCTTCACACACGAATTCCAGTCCACACTAGTCCATGTCCAGCAGTTGCCCACCGTGGCGATAAGGAGTCCGCAGGGTCCCCAAAGCCGCTTTCCATGGAGGGGGTATTTAGATGTTAGGGATCCATTCACCCTTTGTGGGATGCCCGGTCTTGTAGGGGATCCGACGCACACTGGATCTGTCCCCAAGCCCTCGGGGACCCCTTCACACACGAATTCCAGTCCACACTAGTCCATGTCCAGCAGTTGCCCACCGTGGCGATAAGGAGTCCGCAGGGTCCCCAAAGCCGCTTTCCATGGAGGGGGTATTTAGATGTTAGGGATCCATTCACCCTTTGTGGGATGCCCGGTCTTGTAGGGGATCCGACGCTGTGGACATCCTGCACAGATAAAGGCGCCTGTTGGGGCAAGGGAA